CGGCCTTCCCTTTCAGAAACTAACACTAACACTTGTCCACTCCAAACACCCTGATACGCAACGCTGCAGTAATTCGGGGTATTTATAAGCACTAGCATTGAAGGGCTAAGATGAAGAGACATAAAGAGATTAACGACGGGGACACACTGGCCACCGAAGCGCCGCGAAAAGGGGACCGCCTTCATTCAGCGCCCTTGTTATCCTATTCTATAGACCACATGGGCCGCCGAAGCGCCGCGCGCCGGCGCTCCAGCCTGCGCTGTGCAGCGATCGTTTCGGCGTCTGCTCTATTTTTGTCGCGTGCTGCGGGTGCACTGCGTCAATTCTGGCAGGAAGTCAAACCTAGACATAAGAGGCAGTCCGGTAAATTTAACAAAATAAGGCATTTCAAAATACAATTCCGCAATAGTCAAATGTGTTTGTAAACAGGCGCTGCATAAAAACCACACGAACACAAACACACACACAGCGAACTTGTGTGTGTGGCCAAGTGAAGGGGGTGTGGTTTTGGGTGTCTTTCAACCGGAGCAAACAGGACAGAGAGGCAGAAAGTCGTAGGCCAGCTATTAACAACTGGTTCACACCGTGGGTTCACACACACACGTGCAAACACACACACAGACAGCAAGGGGGAGGGGGGTGTCGAGGAAAAGAGCTGAGAAAAGGCAGAGAAGAAATGGAGGACACCAAGTGGTTAAAAGAAAAACTACAAGGCGCGCCTCGACTGGAGCGGAGAAACAAGCGTCTGGTCTGAAATGAGGAGCAGCGAGCAGCGGCCGAATTTCGTGAGCGCTTCGCCTCCCGGCGCTTCGGCGGCCAGTGTGTCCCCGGCGTAAAAGCTCACTTATTAAATATAAATCTAAATAAATTGACTAAGATTTCGCATAGAAGATCTACAACAAACAGCAAAAAAATGTAGAAAAAAGTCAATTAATTTTATCTGTATTCTAGATAGCTAGATGTTTAACGGACACAGTGTACTGGCATCACTCAAAGCTTACAAGATTGTTCCCTGGAAGATCAACTAATCTAAGTTAAAGGAATGTTGAACTTGGATACATACAGAAATAAAAGTGAACATGCTTTGTTCAACAATGTGTTTAAATGTTACAGGCTTCAATCAACTACAGCCAGTTTAAATGTCATTGATTTAGGGCTGCCCAATATATCGTAAAAATATCGTTATTGCGATATCAGCATGAGCAATATGCATATCGCAAAGAACAGATAAATATCACAGTGAATGGTCAGCTCAAATGTTTGCTACACATAATGTATTCTGTCAATCAAATGGAAGTATTATGTTTTTTTAACAAAGCAAATAGAGTCTTCACCCATTTGGTCAATTGGGTGGGTTCTCATCGGTCAGATGCCCGCCCCCGAGGCGGACGGCACTTAATTTTGATGGTTAGCAAACACCTGAGTTAGCTTTGTTCTGCTCTTTTTGCTGATTCGGAATCCACTGATTGCCTTTTCTTGTTCATTTTCTTTTTCCCTTTCCTCACATTTTCATGTTTTTATGAGTTTTTTTCTTTGCTTTTGATGATTTTTGTTCCCGAGTCAAGTTTTTATTTATCGCAAGTAATATCGTCATCACAATATTAATCGTTGTGATTGAATATCGCAGGTTTTCCTAATATCGTGCAGCATTACAACGCTTTAATCAAAAACTTCCATAATAGTTATTTGGGCAGATTTTGCTAGGTACTGTTCGTTTTGTCCACTCAAATCAAAGTGATCTGATAAGTTCTGTATACAATGTAAATCTTTGCTTGATCCACACTTTTATCTGAATTTGTTATTATTTTGTCCAATAAAATTTTTAAGCTAAAAAGCAAAATAAATGTAATATCCAGTATTTAAGAGAAGTTCAAATGGAAAAAAAAAGCTAATGAAAAGTATCAATCTAATAGAATCAGCTGCTGTTCATTCTACATGCTTCCTATTATCCCTGTGGCATGCGGTAAGAAGCTCAGATAGATTCAAATGGAGTCATTACTCTTTATTTACCCGTCTCCATGGTGAAATACTGTATTAGAGCTCCATTATTGATGGCTTCTTTTCTCCACTTGTCAGGCCTAATTAGATTGAATTCAGAGCTGAGCTGACTGAACTAAACATGACGAACTATTACAAAATGTCCCTTTCAGGGTCCATTAATTTGGGCTTGAGTTTCTTAAGAAGAGAAATATGTAATTAATATGTTAACAGAATGTTTCTATAAAATGTCTGTGACAAGAAGCCCAGCATCCTTCAACTACTTCTCACTTCAGAACACCTGGGTTCTTAACTCGTCTCTTGAGATCATTCTAAAACAGCCAACTGAACTTTATAATGTGTGAGCGAAGCACAGAAAATTCCTGAGAGTTCACAGCAGAAGTACGCACGTTACTACATGCCAAATTGACGTTCCGTTTGTAAAGTGCACAAAAATACTTGCGTGGCAACTTTTCTAGGAAGTGCATTTCTAAAACTTTACGGTTTAATAGTTTTCCTGAGGTTCTTCTGTCAACATTGGACACGCAAGGGTACATAACTCACCTTCTCACTGCAAAGTCAAACAACTGATACCAGTGGCTCTTTTAGACCCAATCTTATCAAACTCTCAACTGACCCAGATTTGGCCAAGTAGTCTAATGAAATCCTATCAGCTCCAAGATTGAAAAAGGACCCATACATCTTCTGAGGATGGGACACAATTTCAGAAATAGGACATTAAACAATCTCTTATTTTCTGGCTGATTACCCACGCATCCAAATATACTCAGCCTCAGAAAAAATGGGTTTTTATGAATTACAGTAATCGTACTTTACACATTGCATGCCTTTGTAAATAAAACAAAAGTAACCTTTGCAAACATGATGCAGGAAAATGACAACTCAAAAAGAGGAAATCAGGTGGCTTAAATGGTCACTGAAATAACCCCACAGCCCCAGCTGTTTTAGCTCATTCACTGCCAATGACAACTAAAGTCATAATTTGCTTTTTTTTTTTTTTACTGTGTGGGCATTGGAACGAGCCCCCGCACAGTGAGAACACGGCTCTAAAGCCGATCTTCATCCATGTACATCACGTGATCAACAAGCAGAAAATCCTTGTGTTAGGAGACCGTTTTGGGCCGCTGCTGTAAAAAAAAGTGAGGCGTGAACTGGAAAAGCTTCTGCTGATCACAATTCGACAACAGACTATGAAAGAACGGATAACGCTCGAAACGCGTGAATTCTTCCTGATGTAAGAGTTGAATCTACTCTTTGTTTTGGTTGTTTTGGTAGTTTTGGCATTGACATCATCATAGAGCGCAACGTTCTGTGACTCTTAAAAAAACAGTGAAAACGCTGAAAAACGCTGGCAGTGAAGGGCTTTTCAGATCAGGAAACGGCTGGCTGTGAATGAGTTAACAGAAGGACAAAAATTCTGTTTTCTCTGGTTTAAAACTTAATCAAGAAAGTATGACACAGTACCAGTGGCTAACATAGCATATAAAAAAGAAAAAAATACTGTTTTCTTAAAAAAATAATAATAAAGGCGACAACCAAGTAATTAAATAAATATTACCTTATTCTTGTTCATTATGGATCTACCTATGGCAAGAAATTTCATTAGAAGTGGTTGTGCAAGGTGAAAACCTGTAAGATATTAACTTTATAATGGTGGAAAAACTGAGAGAAAATATTAAACAAAATAGCTTTGTTCTAACTTTCTCCTTCAAAATCTCAAGTTGCTTATATTTAACAATCTAAGCTACCTTTATTTGTGTTAATTATGGATGTAATGGGATTAACTTTCTCCAGAAGGTTATTTTTTTAATGGAAACAAGCTTTATAGTGGATTACGGAAACTCAGTCTGACCATTTCTGTCCAAACACGCTGGAGCTGGAGATGTGACACATGTGTTCAGAAAGCTTGGGAAATGTTGCTCACATGACTTTAAACTTGATGATACGAGAGAAAAGAGAAGTCTGCGTTTCATCCTTTTGGCTTGAAGGAATCTGAAAACATTTTTCCAAAAGGGATCTACGAATGTGTACGAAGTGTGTGTGTGTGTGTGTGTGTGTGCGTGCGTGCGCGCGCCTGCATGTGTGCCTGCTCTGTCTTCTCGATCCCCAGTGAGTCGTGGAGGATGGCTGCTTAGACTGAGCCAGGATCCTCTGGAGGTTTCTTCCTGTTAAAAGGGAGTTTTCCTCTCCACTGTCGCTTTATGCTTGCTTAGTATGAGGATTGCTGTATAGTCACTTGATGCAATTTGCTGGGTTCCTTATATAGGAAACATTATTTCTGATTGGCTAAATGAACTGACCTGAATTGGAATGTTTATTATGTGAAGTGCCTTGAGACGACTCTTGTCGTGATTTGGTGCTATATAAATAAACTTGAATTGAAATCGAATTGAATGCCAAATTCACGTTTACCTTTCGTCACTAAAGTTGTGCTCTTGTAACTTTTAATATGGTATACAAATATATTTTTGGACAAATAGAAGCAACTTTACCAGAAATCGTTAACGTATCTTCATCTTGAGAAAGACAAAAAATGTAAAAACCGGTAGTTAATTGTGGAACATCCTGTTACATCAACACACAGGAACCCGTATGCTCTGTGTGGAACAACTCAAAATCTCCCTTCTGTATCCACTTCATGCAACTCTACCCTTTTCCAAACGGTTGTACCTTTTCCTAATTTAAGATACGTGGTGATTAATTCAACTAAACAATGCACAGGAATTATTATTGTTGTTTTAAACGTCCACACCGATAACGTGACGGAGGTAATTAAAATGACTTGATACACTTTTTACCTCCTTCGGTGTTTTTGTTTCCTTTTCATATCTACACTTATTATCCTAAAAGTCTCGATTGAATCACTATTTCCTCTTTAAAAGCGCCTCACTCCCGCTCCTCTCACAGAAACTCCCAAGAACCGGTGTTAACGCACTTCTTTTGTCAAGGCGACATAATTATATGTTTAGACACTAAAGTCCTGCTGGCGGGTTGAAACTTACTTGGTTTCGGCAGTCGTTCGTCAGCTAATAGTCACTCCAGAATCAGCGGAGAAAGTCTATAAATCCATGCGCCTCTCCGACGGCTCCACGTCGTCCGTTTCAGCTTGAGTTGCTCTTGTTTTCGGTAACGGCAACTGGAGACTGTTGACAGTCTACTCAACGTAGAGGGCGCGCGCTTTTTAGGGCGGAGTCAAAGGGTGGAGCGTGCTTCTGCCTCCTAACGTACGCGCTTACGCAAATTGAAATTTGACGCCGCTTCATCTTATCTTTCTGTCTTCTTTTTTCCATCCTTTCTTTCCTTTTATGCATTCTTCTATTTCAAAGATTCACATTTGTAATTGTTTACCAAATGTGATATGTTTGTATTTGTGAATAACGTCAATAAATAAAAAACAAAAAGGCGTGTCCGTTTGAAGCCTATAGTGGCTAGATCAATCATTAATGCATTAAGACAACAAAAACAAAACAAACAACAAAGGAAACCAGCATCTTTTTACATACAAGAGGGAATATACAAGCTGACCTCTTTGTATTTAAATGCCATTTTGTTCATAAAGCTCTTTAAAAAACAGCAATACAAAAGTGCTGCTTACCTCACAGAATGTTTGATAAGAGAGCAGCAACCTGCAAATATAAAATGTGACTTTTTTTTAAAAGAAAAAACTATTGAAATCTTTTTAAGTCATAAATTGTAATCATCAGGCAGGCCCTCCGACCACCACCAGCTGGCAAGGAGGGTCAGGTGACTAGCCCAAGGACACAACAACTGTGACAGACTGAAGAGGGCATAAACCTCTACCACTATCAACCCTAGTGTAAATTCTCAAATTTTTTAACAATTTCAAATGTATAATATAAACTTTAATGCCTCTATAGAAAAAGTCTGTTGCTTTTATAATTGAATAGGATTTTTTTTTCTTCAATTGCACCTGTTGCATGCTTTGGAACCCTACTACTTAAAGAGCAAGTCACCCCCAAATCAACTTTTTTTTGCTGATAAACTATATAAATGCATGTCTAATCATGCTGCAGACACGTGTAGTCAATAGTTTTGTACTTTAGAGCATTTTAGTTAAAATTTGAATTTTATGCCTAAAACTGTCAGTGCTGTGCCGTTGTCAGGTAAAAACTCTGCACTGCATTTGAATTTTAATCTGCCACCTCTATTGGCTAAGAGGTATGCTATGATGTAAACTGGTACATTATGATGTCACAATGCTGTTGTGAGCCTGTGTGTGTGTATTTGTTAGCGGCTCCGCCCTCTCAGTCTGCTAGGCAACAGCGTTTGTTGCATTTTCCAAACATGAAGTGGGAGTGGAGTTAGACTCTGGTAGGGGGTGACTTGCTCTTTAACTCATAGCTTCATTTGTATAAAGGATTTTCCAAGCAAACACAACAGCACCTGATTGTTTCTTAACACTGACAGTAAAAACATCCTCAAACTTCAATCAGTCAATCAAACTTTATTTGTATAGCGCCTTCCACTCATCTTTATGGGGTCCAAACATCATTACAAACAAATAAATAAAAGGAAATATCACAAGCAATTAAAATAAAACCATATCACATGAAAGCCAAACGATAAAAATGAGTATTCAAGCAACTATTAAAAACATGCACTGATGTTGATTGTCGAATAAAGAGCGGTAGCTCATTCCAGGCAGCATATGGTGCCTGGCCCGAGAAGCCATGATCACCCAGTCCTGTGCCTAGAACATGGAACAGTCAACAGCTCCTGCTCAGCTGAGCGTGGAGATCATGAAGGTGCATGCCGTTTTAAGGCAGTCAAGTATGGAGGAGCACTACCTTGTAGAGCCCGGAAAACGTGCAACAGAGTCTTAAACTTAATCCAAAAGGTCACTGGAAGCCAGTGCACTGGGGCCAATATAGGGGTGATGTCAGCTGTCGCGCTGCTGAATTTTGAACAAATTGTAAGCGCCTCAAGGCTGCTTTACAGTCCAGTGTAAAGTGCGTTACAAAAATCAAGCCTTGACAGAACAAAAGCATGTAAAACAGATTCAAAGTGCTGTCTACTTAAGCTCATTTATACAAATGTTTCCTGTACGCATGGGTAGTTTTGACTCCACCTTTATTTAATATCCAGGGAAAATCCCTAGCAACTGTAATATCAAAACTATACCTTTACAAATTAATTTAAGAAGCAAGATAGTAAAAGCAGCCAACCTAAAACTAATACAGATCCAAACTAATTGTATGTTGACCTGAACATTGTTGAGCATTCATGCCCAAGACAATTAAAAGTAGACACAGAAACACGTACATGCATGTCACTAAGCCAAATCTGTAACTAAGAACACAGGGAGATTAGAGTGGGTGTGGGGGACTACATTCCCTGATCTTTAAAAACAACTCAAGAAACTAAAAAGGAAAAATACACAATCATATTTGCAAAATTCAAACATGACTCATTAGTACAGTTTAATGATTTAAATAGAGTATGGCCTCATGCAGAAAAAAAAACAAATTTTGGAATATACAAAAACATGGTTAAATATTTCTGGGCAAGCTTTAGATGATCTAAATGTTTTTCAGAACATTACATTTTATTTTCTCTCCTTTAGATATTCAGGACCAATCTCAGGCATTTGAAAAATGTAAATTTTTAAGCCTGGAAAGAGTCATATTTTATGCTGAATGAGCTTGTGTGATGAGGAGACATGAAATTGTCCAAGATGAATATCACATAAAATGTTTTGGGCCTAAAGCTGAACTTTGAGGAACACCACAGGTATCTTTGTACAACTGAAATGCAAATGAGAACAAGAACATACATAAACTCCTTTTTATGAAGTCATAACCTAAATCACAATATTTTCAATCATTATTAAGAACTGAATAATATATAATAAACAAGTTGGAAGTAGGAGGAATGTATTTAGGAGTTGAATGAAGGAATGAATAGTGGGATGGGCATTGGGCTCACTAACAACAGGAGGCCAGTCTCCATGCAGTTTACTGCTAATGACAGGGCCCAGACTGAGGCTTACTGCTGCTTGCATACGAACATTTCACAGTCATTAGAGATTCACAGATGTTCGTCTACATAGAAACAATGGACCACTAACCTGTGCTCGGAAATAACCCTCAAATGTTTTTCTCTATGAACCTGTTGTATGTCTCTACCCTCTAAAACGTTTTCATGAGGTAGAGTTGGTCAAATACATTTAATAAAATGAAGATGCATTCCAAAGGAAATTGACATAGTGAACAAAACACCATGTAATCAGGTCTATGAGTCCAAGGTGAACAAATGACCCAACATCAAAGAAAAGTATGGAAGCCACAGACTAGGGTCACTCAGGTGTCAGGCTGTAGCCTAGCACTTTTGTTTTGATAGTTATAAATCTCCATCCTGTTAATAAAGCCCCATTCCCACCTGTACCGGGTCGGCCCGGGCCGGGTAGCATAGGTTGTTTACATATCTGGGTGGCCTGGAATTTTCCCGGGCCAACCAAGGCTCATTCTCGGCCCTCTTCCCGAGGGGTACTGCTTCAGGCCGACCAGGGCCAACACGCCCACTGCTGACAGCAAATTCACACCTTCCATTAGAGCAAGCCTCTGATTGGTGGGTAGAATCAGCCCATTCACACCTTCCATTAGAGCAAGCCTCTGATTGGTGGGTAGAATCAGCCCACATGGGCTTAAGGCAAGGATGTGTGGAATCAACCGGGCCAGGCTGGGGCCGACTGGGGCTACCCGGCCCGGGCCGACCCGGTACAGGTGGGAATGGGGCTTTAGAATAATGATTTTGATAATCATCATTATTTCATGACAATACAAATTGTTTTTTTTATAAGTGCAATCAGTGAAAGTATGCAAAAAAGTAAAAGTTTAGCATACATAACTATTTCTGCAGGAGTTTGTAAAAAAGCAATTATGACTTAAAAGATAAATCATTTATAAAAATGTTTTTTAATGGAAAACATGTTATGACTTTTATTCCTATGCTATAAGAGCTCTATGGTCAATACCAAACATGTTCATGAAGTTCTTTGTACAAAATCCTTCTTGACATTTTCAGTACCTTCTAGAATGAGCCATTTCAGGGCTCTGTCACTTTAAGGAGAAAGTTACCCCCAAATCAACTTTTTTGCCAATAAACTGTATAAATGAGTTTCTAACAGTGCTGTAGACATGTGTAGTCCTTATTTAGGCATTTTAGTGCATCTTATTTAAAAAGTAAACATTCAGCCTAAAACTGTCACTCTCTTCAGGTTAAAACTCTACACTAGATTTGAATTTGAATCAGCCACTCAAATCAGCTAAAACGGTACACCATGACATTTCCGGTATACTGCGTCAGCGTCACTGCTGCTGTGGGCTATAAAAGCAGCCGAGTCTTGGGCTAGGCCACTCTTTCATAGCGAGTTGGAGTTCGAACAGCAAGGCAACTCATGAGCCAACGGTTCAAAACAATACAGCTCAGGATCGCTTGCCTTCAAAACTAAAAATCCTCCCTTCCCTCAGTCTTCTGGTGAAGGAGGCAGCAATAACTGCTCCACCTTCAAAGACTGCTCTGAGGCAAAGGAGCTTGCTTGATTATCAGGGACTAGGAAGTGCTGCCTTTTCTCCATCCCAGCAGTGTTTGTGCATGTGTGTCTGTTAGTGGCTCTGTTCGAGAGAGAGAGAGCGAGAGAGAGAGAGAGTGTGTGTGCGTGCGTGCGCATGCGTGCGTGTGCGTGCGTGTGTGTGTGTGTGTGTGTGTGTGTGTGTCTGTTAATGGTTGTGTTTTTGTAGCTAGGTGTGTGTGTGCATGTTTGTTAGCAACTCAATTCTCCAATAGCCAAATATCCAAGGGTGGTGGTGCAGGGGGTGGTGGTTAGCAGTCTGTCACTCACTGCTGCAGACGTGCCCTCATTGTGTGCCAGGCAACGCCTCCTTGTGGCTCATTTTTCAAACAGGAAATGTGGTTGGGGTAAGACTCTGGTCGTGACTGATAGGTAGTGACTTACTCTTTAAGGGAAAAACCTGAAGCTGGCCACGCCCACATCCCCCACTCAGACTGCTATAAGCTGAGAAGCTCCTTTTTCGAGAGAGGCACAGAGCTGCTGCTCCTTCAGCAGTAGCTCTTGCTTGTATCTGAGAGGTGGCTACAGTCTACCTTCCCATTTGTAACATCATAAACAGGGAATTTTTAAAATGGCT